ATTGATGGTGAGAATCCCCCACGGAGGAGCAGGACTCCTGGCCTAGGGTCTGTGAAGGCGTGCATGGTCACCCAGTGATCACATGGGTGTGGCAGGTGCACATGGCGTGGGCGCCCACAGTGGGCTGTGAGCAGCAGCTCCAAAGCGGTCTCATCTTTGTGGCTCTACCTCTGTCCCTCTGCATTCACACCCATACGTTGTTGCAGATCCTCTTGCTACCAACAGTGATGACACAACGCATTGCCCAGCTTCCCTATCCCAGGGGACCCAGCATTCAGAACCAAGACCTTCTGGCTCCCATGCTGGATTTCAGGTCAAGCCCCCTGCACCGCCTCCCAGGACCATGGGCCAGCTGCTCAACAAGGATAGGGCAGCACCTCTGAGTGGCAGCAACACATGACGTCACGCGGGGAGGATTCCCGGGGCAGCCACCCTGCTGCCGGGTCACGTTGCTGTGACCCGCTTCTCCTGAGTCTCTGTCTGTGCTCTCCGCCCACCCCCACCTGGCTCTCATTCCAGTGACTCACCGGAGTCTTTATTGTTGGCGCGGTAATTTGAGCTGGCTCCCAGGCAAGGACCCTTGTCCCCTTTCAAAGTGCTGTGGAGATCCTTACCCCAGGATCACTCCCAATGTGCATCCCCTTGCCCTGGACCCTCTGCCGAGGAGCACGAGGTGTGTGCAGAAACACCATCATGTCGCCATCCTCCGTGTCCCAGGCTGTAGGTCTTTCTGTGTACGATCAAAACCAAATGTGCGTCTGTTTTCAGAGAGGGGAGGCTAATTGGCTGAAAGTTCCCATTTTTGGATTTTTTCCTCAGAGACTTAAAACGAGAGCCGTGTCTTTGAAATGGCATATGGTGTGTGCGTGTGCCTCCCTTCGGCTGGAAGGGCAGGATTCAGTTTGCATTTTTTTTTTTTTTTTTTTGGACTTAAAGAAGAGCCTGGGTTGAGAACAACATGTGCAGGGTCCCATGCAGGCTGTCACTGCTGAGCGCCTACACTGTTCACATTTATCTGCGAGTTTCTCGGCCGCATCAGGGGCGTCTGCGTGCCCTAATTTCCCCAGGACTTTGGAAGGGGAATTTCTGCCTCCTTGGCCTGGCAGAGCGGCCCTCTAGCAAAGCATCCACTTTGGGAAGTCTCTCACAGGGGTTGTGTAGGGCGTGAGCCAGGGTCAGCCTTCATTTGTCAATGTATCTTGGGTGAAATGTTGCTCCCTAGAGCCTGGGCATGTGTGTGTGTGCCTGCATATGTGCATGTGCATGTATTGTGTGTATGTATACGGTGCGTGTGTGCGCATTTATGTGTGTTCATTTATTTATGTGTGCATGCGTGTGCATATAGGTTCTTGCATGTGTTCGTTTATGTATATATGTGCGTTCATGTGTTCATGCGTGTACATGTGGGTATATGTATGCGCGTGCTTGTGCACATGTGTGCACGTTTGTACATGAATTTATGTGTTTGTGTATGCGTATGCATGTGTTTGCATGTGCATATGTGTTTGCTGGAAATGTTCTAATGCAGCTGGGCTCGGGTGCCTGGTGCTGGTGGACTGTGTGGATTTAAAAGATGGCGCCTGCCAGCAGAAGCCTTGACTGTGCCCTGCTCTGGGGTCCCTCATGAAGCCTCCACTTGTCATGGGCTGGAAGAGATGGGATCAACTGTCAGAGAAGCTGGTGGCCTCTTGAGGACCACAGGACTGTGCCAGAAGGGATTTGAGAACTTCCCTGATGTACCGAGGGGCAGGTGGAACCAGAGTGAGGACGTAACTCTGCTGACGTCCCACAGCTGCCCAGTGCCAGGGCCGGTCTGGGATCTTGGCTGATGCGAGACCCTGCTCCACCATTCTTTGTGTGGCATTTAGAAAAGTTTGCTCAGAGCAGGTGAGTCCTGCTCAGGACCTCCCAGTGGCTTCCCAAATTGTTCAGGAAAAAATTCCAGAGTCCTTCCCTCAGCCTGCCTGGGAGTACCACCTTCTGTGCTGTGTCTCCCACCCCCATCCACCCCTGAGCTCCAAGCAAATTAGGCTTCATGCTGAAATCACCAAGTCCTTCTCCACACCCCTGGACCTTTGCACCTGCCATTCCCTCTGCCCAGCACACCCTCTCTTCCAGAGGGGCCTGACTTCCTCCTGCACTTTATCCCAAGTCTCTGCCCCCTGGTCCTGCGAGGTTTCCTGCTTAGCTGTGCACCTGCTTCCCTGATATTTGTGTAAATGCACCTGTTCCTTCGTTCCTCACATGTCCCCTCCCATGGGGCTGCTCTGTTGTGATGCTATTCCTGGGGCCTAGAATAGTTGCCTGCCACATAGCAAGTGCTGAATGCAAGATGGATGCATCCATGAATGCAGGAACAGCAGAACATTCCTGTGCAGCAAATGCATTGGGCAGAGGGCTCTGGGCTCGGGGTCTCTGGGACTGACTCTTCTTCCCCTGCTTGCTGACCTTGACCTTTGCCTGTGCATCCTGGGCAAGCGCTCAGAGGCCTGGTTGCCGGGGTCTTGCTGTGTACTGGGTGCTGGAATTCCACGCGGGAGGAGGGCCTGCAGCTCAGACCCCACTTCACACTTTGACACCCCGACAGAAGGAGCCACAGCAGGCTCCTCTGGAGGGTCCCAGGAGATGAGGGGGAGAGACGGGCATGGCCTGCACATGTGAGGGGCAGCAGCAGGGCCAGTGGGCAGTGCTGAAGCCCCTCAGCCCACACCCCAGGGCCTGCTGAGAAGCCACAGCACCACTCTGCTGGTGACGTCCACCATGCTGCTTCTCAGGCCTCCAGGACCTGCCCTGGCTCACACACATACAACACACACACACATGCCATATGTGCACATGTGCCACACATGTACATGCCACATGCACACAAACCCTACACACACCACACATGCAACAAATATGCACACAATACTAACATAAACATATGCATGCACATAGCCCACACATACCACACATGCAATACACACACAACACCAACACGTGCATGCATATATCATGCCTGAACATGTGTCACATATACACACACCTCATACACATAGCCCACATATGCACCACACATGCAACACACACCAAACACACATACACATGTGCCACATACATACATGTGTCATGCATACAACCCACATACATCACCCATGCAACACACATACGCACAATACCAACACATACCTGTGCACACTGCACACACGTGTGTATATGCCACATGTGCCACATATATCCATGCCCCATGAAAACACCCCGCCACACATGCAACAAACATACAATACCAACACATACGCCCGTTGCACATATCATGCCTGCACATGTGCCACATACACACACCATACACATAGCCCACACACAATCCACATGTGCAACAACACAACACCAAATACATGTACACATGTCACACATGCCACATACATGCACGTCTCGTGCAACACATACCACATACAATACCAGCACATACACACTGCACACATGCGTGCACATGCATGTGCCATATACATCCCTGCCCCATGTACACAACCCACACACATACCACACATACAACAAACACAATAGCAACACATACACACATGCATGCACATACCACACATGTACGTGGCACATGCATGCACATAGTCCACACATACCACCCATGCAACATACATAGATATGTGTATTTTACTGGAATAGCAGGAAAAAAACTTTATGATGTTTACACTGCAATAACTGGGATCTGTTTGTACAGAAATGGCATTATTAAAAATGTGCTTTTTAAAAAAATTTATTTGTTGAAAGGCAGAGTTAGAGAGAGAGAACGAGAGTGAGAGTGGGAGAGAGAGATCTTCCATCTGCTGGTTCACTCCACAAATGGCTGCAATGGCTGGGTCTGTGCCAGGCCAAAGCCAGCAGCCTGGAACTCTATCTGGGTCTCCCACGTGATTGGCAGGGGCCCAAGCACTTGCACCATCCTCCACCGTTTTTCCCGGCACATTGGGAGGGAGCTGAGCAGAAGTGGAGCAGCTGGCACTCGAACCAGTGTTCCTATGGGATGCTGGCGTTGCCTGCGGTAGTGTAACCTGCTGCACCACAGCAGGGGGCCTGGCAGCCAGTTGTCCTGGCAGCTACTAAAGCCCTGCTTCCCACCCCCACCCTGGCCTGTGACCTTCAGACTGAGAATGGACTGAGAAATCCACACTCCTGAGCCCGGTCCCAGTGGGGCTGCGTTTTCAAGAGCCTCCTTTCCTTAAAGCCTATAATTACGTTTGCCTCCAGGGCACCCAGGCATGTCTTTTTTCTTTTTTTCTTTCTTTTTTTTAAATAAACAAAGAGTATCCTGCAATTATCATGAAGATTTGTTGAGCACCCGCCAAGTGCAGACGGGAGCCTGAGTCAGCGCCATGAGTGACACCCACGTGTTGCTTTTCCCAATTCTGCAGGCGCCCGCTACTGCGCGTGGGGCCCACAGTCATGGTTCTGACCCGGAAGAGGATCCCAGGCCATGCAGATGTCTGCTTGGTGCTGCTTTCCCACGAGGCGGAGCGAGGCAGCGGGGTGGCACTTGGCTTTCCTGAGGCCGATTGCCCCGTCCCAGGGGGCCTGGAGACAACTGCCTGCTGTCGTGTGCAGCAGCAGGGTGCCGTCACCCGGTGCTGCCTTGGCCACTTGAAGCCTTGGCCGGGACGGGCAGAAGCTGGCGGGGTGGGAGCCTATCGGCTCTGTCAGCCGTGATTTGCGGGCTGAGCCGGGTTTCGTGGCCCTGCCTGTTATCTGCCCGAGTTCAAAGAGCTCTGAGCTGCTTGTCTTTGTCAAGAGCGCGGTTGGGGATCTTTTATGTGGAAGATGTAGGCTTCTCAGGCTGACTTTGATTATTTATTCATCCCCCTCCGTGGGTGTGTGATAACGCGGGGCACTCGGAGCCCCTTGTCCCGGCCGCTCTCGCTCTGAAATTCATCGCGCTTTAAAGCCCTTTGAAAATTGCTTGCTGAGGGAGGGGAAGAGTTTTTGAAGTTCTCTTTCTGTCTCTCCATCCACAGTGCCGCAGCACCTCTTGCCGCCGTTCCCCGCGCCCTTGCCGGTTGACATGCGCCACCAGGAGGGACGGTACCATTACGAGCCTCACTCTGTGCACGGCGTGCACGGGTAAGTCCTGCCCTCCTCCGCCCACCCATTCGCCTGCCCACCGCCCCGGACCTGCCTGCAGCCTCAGCCACCTCCATCCTTGTGTCTGGCCTTCCCGATCTGCGTTGTCCCGAGGGGATTGGCCCGGTTGCCACCCATGAGCGTGAGCGTGGAAATGGGTGACAGGTGAACAGCTGCCACCTGTCTGGATCCTGGAAAGGAAGCTGGGCTCACCCCCCCGACACACACACCATCGGCACTTGTCAAGTTCCAGCTTTCCTTGGTGGACCCATGTGTGATTCAGGGCTCCTTACCTATCCATGAACTGGCAGTCCCCTCCAGGCCACAGAGCCTGCACAAGGTGCCCTTAGGTATGTGGGTTCCAGTGTTTCCTACTGTCTCAGGGTTCCTGTTATAGAGTGATGGGTCTGTATGGACAAGCTCAAAGGGATGCTTTTCCTGCTCTCTGCCTCAAACTTCCGGATAAAAAGGCTGTGTTCAAGGGCCGGCACTGTGGTGCAGTTGGTTAAGTGGCTATCTGCAGTGCCGGCATCCCATACGGACGCCAGTTCGAGTCCCAGCTGCCCCACTTCTGGTCCAGCTCCTTGCTAATGCACATGGGAAAGCCTCGGAAGATGGCCCAAGTCCTTGGGTTCCTCCCACCCATATAGGAGGCCCAGAGGAAGCTCCTGACTCCTGGCTTTGACCTGGCCCAGCCCCAGGTATTGTGGCCATTTGGGGGGTGAACCAGCAGGTGGAAGATCTCTCTGTGTGTGTCTCTCCTGCTCTCTCTGTAGCTCCACCTTTAGGGAGAGAAAGGTCATGTTCACCAGTGTTGCATCAGGAGGCCTAACCCAGCCTGTCTGGGGCCTCTGAGCCTGTGGCCCATGCCTGTTTTCTTGGTGTTCACGACATGAGGCTTGGCCCCTTTTACTCTTTCTGTTACCCTTCCACAGGCCTCTCCCAGTGCCCACCCTGTTTGCAGCTCCCCACGCTCTCCAGGGGCTCTTTTGCGACCCTCTTGCCCTGGTGCCTTCTATCCCACCTCCCTCCAGCCACTTCACCTGTCCACACCAAGGTGCTGTCTGTGGCTGCAATACACATCACCCTGCCCCGTGTCTCCATGCCTGGCTCTTGCCACCGGCCCAGCATGCCAGGGCAGCTCCTTCCCCTGACATCTCCAAGCCTCAACACAGTACCCGCCTCCTCCTGGGCTTCTGTGATCCCCTGTTCTCAGTGGCAGCTCTGGCTCTGGACTCCCACTGCACCATCAGCCCAGAGTGATCTCTGCCCACGCCTGTATCCTGCTGGCCCTGAGCACACCCTCACTGCTGTGTCTACTGCTGCTGCTGGCCAACAGGTGCACAGTCAATGTTTGCTGGATGGGGAGCCCATTCCTCAGGTTCTGCCTCTGCTACCTCCGTACCTCCTGTTTGAGTGACGTCCGGACGCGCTTGCTAAGTGCTTGCTGTGTTCAAAGCCTTGTGCGGCACAGGTGCCCCAGCCGACCCTCTACCCCAAGACAGAGCAAAGCTGGGACTTTCCTCCTTTTAAGATATTTTTCACTTTCTACCATTTTACTTTGGTATTATTTCAGACATCCACAAGCAATTGCAAAAATCATGAAAGATTTTCTATATATGCTTCCCCCAACTTGTGAAATCTTAACATGTTATATTAGCAAACCCTGATAGAATTCTGTTTGAAATTTTTAAGTTAGTTCTTTATTTGAATGGCAGCAAGACAGAGACAGACAGACACACACATATACACACACTCCCACACAGATTTTTTCTTTTTCTTTTTTATTTATTTGACAGGTAGAGTTATAGACAGTGAGAGAGAGAGAGAGAGACAGAGAGAAAGGTCTTCCTTTCATTGGTTCACTCCCCAAATGGCCGCCACACTTGGCACTGTGCAGATATGAAGCCAGGAGCCAGGTGCCTCTTCCTGGTCTCCCATGTGGATGCAGGGGCCCAAGCACTTGGAGTCACTCCTGTCTGGGTAAGATCAAGCTGTGGGCAGAGCTGGTTCCTTTGGAGACTCTATGGGAGAATCCATTGCTTTGACTTTTCTGGGTTCCTCCTGCATTCCTTGGCTTGGGAGCCCTACCTCACACCACTTTGCCTTCTCTCGGCATCTGTGCTCACACTGCCTTCTCCTTTGGCTCTCCTGGCTTTCTCCCTGTCTCTCTTACAAGGACACCTGCCGTGACTTTGAGGGCCCACCTGTCTGATCCAGGCCAGTGCCCTGCCACACACACACACACCCCCCCCCCCCCCCGCCAAGACCATTTTTCACCATAGTGGGACTCACAGGTGCCACGAACTTGGGCTGGGGACTCCTTGCGGACCGTGACGTACGTAGCTCAGCAGGGATTGCCAGGCTGCAGTGGGCTGCATGGCATCACTGCATGGAACACAGTCAAGGCTCAGGTCTGCCATGGGCTGGCCACTGGCATCTGCTGTGCTGTTAGCAAATCTTTCTGATCGCCGTGTGAGGTGGGGTCATGAGCTTCATGGTGTGGAGGCTCAGAGAGGCGCTGGCTTCTCCGTGTGGTCTCTGTGTGGGCTCGGGACCCCGGCAAGGAGAGCCTGTCCTGGTCCCACTCCTGAGAGGCAGCAGCATCCTGTTCCCGGCGCCCCCATCCTGTTGGGGCGGCCTTCCAGTTGCTCTGTGCCATCCCCAGGAGAGTTACTGAAGGAAGACACCACGAGAGCTGCAGGGCTGGCCTTGGGGTCTCAAAAACCACTCCTCCACCTCCAGAGTCCCAGGACACAGAGGAAGACGGCTCCCTGGCTCTGGCTTTGTGATTTGTGTGGTCGGAGCTGGGTGGATCAGCCCATCCGTCAAACCCGCGAGTAACTGGCTCTCCTTGCTGGCGCCCAGTGTGTCTAATCACACGCACGTCACACAGCAAATGAGGTGTGATGTCATCTGTCGGCGGCGAGTCTGAGCCTCTGCCTTCTGCTCCGAGTCACAAGGCCACTTAGCGTGTGGGTGCACCTGCTGCTCTGTCCTGGGCATGCAGGCTCCAGGCCTGGTGCTGCCCCTGCCCCCTGCCCCGCACAAGAGCTGCCATCCTCACTGCAGAGCCTGCTGCTGCTGCTGTGTCTCAGCCCTGCCAGGCACTTGCCCTTGAACCCGGCACCACAATACACATGGGATAGGGGATGCAGGAGCCTTGACAGACCTCAGCATTCTCATCTGCAAGACGGCTAGTCTCCTTGTTATTCTGACAGTGGAGAAGGGTAAAGGAAGGCAGTACTGAGGGCCCTTGAGAAGCGTGCCGTGGACGGTGGTCATTACCGTTATTACTGAGGTCACCTCTGCTTGCTTGTTTGAGAACAGGGCTCATTGGAGGAGAGACGACTGGCCTGTGGCCGTGGCTTGGGGAGGCGGGATGTGGGGCAGAGGCTGTGCTGTCGGGGGAGGAAGGAGGAGGGTTTTTTTTTTTCCCAACTGAAGAATGTGGACATCCACCTTTGGGTGGCCAGGTGGGTGTGGTCGGATCTCCCCACTCCACCCTCCAGAGTAACCATAGGAACTGTTACAGGGTGGACAGATAAAGCGCAGCAAATGTGTCCTGGTGACAGCCAGAGCTGTCCCAGTGGCCCTGGGCGGAAGAGGAGTAGGGTCACAGGCTGCTCATCTTGCTCCAGGCAGGCAGCTGTGCCTCGGGAGAGGCCGGGCCAGCCGTGTGCCTCAGCCCACCTGTATGACTTCCGCCCGGACACCCACACCCCAGCCCGCTGCAGAGCGACCTGCCCCCATCCCCGTGAGGTGCAAACCATGCTTGCTTGGTTCTGGAAGAGGAAATCCTAGTACCCATTCCTCCTGGCATGCTGCTGCATTGTTTTATGTAAAGCATGGGTGACAGGGAGACTCCTAGGGGAAGGACGGTGTGGCTGGCCAAGTGGGGTTCTCTGGGGACCCACATGGGCACACGCTCCTGCCTCTCTCAGAATCCCTACCACAGGGTGAAAGAGCAGTCCAGCTGCAAATGGGGTCCATTGCTCCCTACAGTCTCCCCACAGCCTTAAGTTGCTAAGGGGCAGGGTAGGCATTGTGATGCAGTGGGTTAAGCCATTGCCTGTGATACTGGCATCCCATAATGAGTGCCAGTTCGAGTCCTGGGTGTTCTGCCTCCAATCCAGCTCCCTGTTAATGGCCTGGGAAAAGCAGTGGACGGTGGCCCAAATGCCTGGGCACCTTTACCCTCACGGGGAGACCTGGATGAAGTTCCTGGCTCCTGGCTTTGGCCTGGCTCAGCCCTAGCCATTGTGGCCATCTGGAGAGTGAACCAGCAGATGGATGATCTCTCTCTCTTTCTCTGACTTTCAAATACATCATCTTAAAAAAAAAAAAAAAAAAAGGATGCTAATGCTAAGCTCCCACCCTCCGTCACCACCCCAGGCCCTGTTTCTTAAAAGTAGGCTTGTCAGGGTGTCATGAGTAATGAGGCAAGGTGTGGTATGGCAGGGTTCTCCCACGAGAGCGCCCCATTTCCCCATGCATGTAGTCACTCTAGCACAGTCTGGGCTAGCTGGGGCCAGAGTTAACCTGTGTGTCCTCTGGGAATGGTAGAAGTTCATGCTTGTGATTCAGGAGGCTGGAGTTGACCTTCAACTTCCTAGGTTGCTTCTGGGGTCCTTGCCCTGCCTTGCCCTGCCCTGCCCTGCCCTGCCCTGCCCTGCTCTGGGGCTTCAGACAGGACCAGTTCCATCTGTCTCGAGCCAGGAAGGGTTTGTGGAGACTGTCTCCTGCTGCAGTTCCCAACCCTGGCTGCAGGTCTGCACAGCTGGGTATGTGTCTCTTAGCGCTGTGATGCTCCCAGGCTAAGGTGAGCCCTGGGAGTCTGCTTATTAAGAGGCGCTGAGGGGTCAGAGTTTGGGGACCTCTTGCTTATGTGACACCCAGGAGAGCAGGCTCACCACTGTTTGTCACCTGTTATCCATGCACAATGAGTCCCCGCAAGCTGACCCAAGCCTGGGACAGTCTCAGCTTGCAGCCAGCCTTTG